CCCCCCCCCTGTTTCCACTTTTTTCTGAACCCCCCCCCCCCCTTTGTTGGGGACGTTTTTTAGGGAGGACCCCTTACTGCCCCGAGCTCCAAAAATGTAAAAAAAAAAAAAAAAAAAAAAAATTAATACAAAAATGTACACATTGTGCTTTTAATTTTTTTATATTAATTTATTAAAATCGATACCACACTCTTCTACCAGCCAATGTCGCCCCCACTCTTCTACCAGCTTTGTTGCCTCCACTCTTCTACCAGCCATCTTGTCCCCACTCTTCTACCAGCCATGTTGCCCCCCCCCTCCACTCTTCTATCAGCTTTGTTGCCTCCACTCTTCTACCAGCCATGTTGTCCCCACTCTTCTAGCAGCTATGTTGCCTCCACTCTTCTATCAGCTTTGTTGCCCCCACTCTTCTACCAGCCATCTCGCCCCCACTCCGGATCGGATCATTAGCAAATAAAGGGAGTAGCCGATATGTTTGGGCTGTTCAACCCACGAGTCTACTATCAGCAAGTGAAGAAAAGTTATTGATGTCCGTTGCAAAAAATGTATGATGAGTTATCAGAAGATGAACTTTTAAAAAGAAATACTAAAGCTTAGAACACACCTAATTTCATAAAGTCATGGACTGGTCAGTATTTGATGTCTTGAAATTCATAGCTGAATGGGACTTCCTGGAATCTCTTCCAATACTCATGTATACTCCTTGATCCTGACATTGTTTCTTACGATCTGTGTGTCTGTTGCTTCAAGTGAGCCGAGCTTCTCAAAACTAAATCTTATCAAGAACTATTTGCGATCCACCATGGAACAGGCAGGATTTTCTAATCTGGATATACTATCTATTGAAAGTCATAGGGTGTTGATTTTGATCAAGTGATTGAAAGGTGTGCAGTGTTGAGAAAAAAAAATAATTTAATTTAAAAATAAACTACAACTTAAAGTTGATAGAGTTCTTAAATACATCTACCTCCTGACCTTCAATTAATTTGTTTTTGTTCTTGTCATTGTTATACTTTGGACTTATTTTAATTAGAAGAAATCCATTGTAGAAGTCGGTCTGGTGACACAATGAGTTTACCGCACCGGGTGACACCAACCCTAGCTACGCCACTGGGCTGAAACACAACATTATTTACTAGGGCTTAATAGGCGTTAGTTGTTTTTTACACCGGGTCGGGGGGGGGGGGTATTTTGAGAAAATAACCGGTGGGTCAAAGTGTTACAAAACATTTAACTTCTTATTTTATATAAAATATGCCGGCCTTTAAACAACAGGCCTACAGACAGTCCTACACCCTACCTGCCGACCTTTAAACAAAAGGTCTACAGACTACAGGCAGTCCTAAGAATAGTCCTATAGACTACATAGTCCACCATACCCGTGGTAATTTATTAATTTAATATAATAGTCGCCTCTGAAATAATTCAACCTTTTTACCTTAGTTCAACCGTCACGCATGACGCTCCCTGCTTGGCAGCTTTTTTACTCAGTACTATTAATATAAACATGTTGAGTAAGGGGTGAAAAGGAAGCAGCCATACCAGGAGCTAAATATATATAAGAGATAACTTTTTTTTTTCAAATTTGCCGTAGCTTGGAGCGGGGGTTGAGCTAACAAAAAGATGCCGGAGATGAGCTTTCCTACGCAACTCCCTTCCTATGCCACAATTTTTTAGTGGAAGTCGTGTTTCGTTAATGTTCTATCTTGTTCAGTTGTAAAAAAAGAGAAAGGCCTAGATCGAGATAATCAGTGTACTTTTTAATGTTTTAAAAGTTAGCTATGGTGAATCGACTACAAACATTTAAAATATTAATAAGGGGCACAATATTTACTTTGTATGAATTTAATCGTTTTTGTTTCTTTCATGGGAAATATTTATCTTTTTTTTTTTAAAAAAAAAAACATGTATAAATAATTACAATTGAATAGACAAAAAAAAAAAAAAAAATTCCCCAGTATATCCGGTTAATATTTCTTGATTCCCAACAAAAAAGATTAGTTAAAATGGATACCAAAGTAGCTAAAAAGTCTTGGGAGCTCTCTAATAATGTTGAAAGTGTATCTAGTGTAGACGATATTTATCGTTATGATTCCAAACAACAGCAAGATATTCTAACAGCTAAACCATGGGAAAAAGAGTAAGTTCTTTGTGACAATATTTATTATTTATGGATATTTAACCCATTTGATACGAGCCAATTTTTAATTTTAGACTTTCGGTGCCAAGACATGACATAATCATTCTTGATAAGACTGATCCCTTTTAAGTTCACAAGTTCATCCTTTAGCCTTTAGTTTGCAGAAAAAATATATATTAAAAAGAAAGTAATGACTTAACAAATATAACAATTGCGGTAAATTTACGTAATCTGAGCCACTTATTTCCCACAGCCGCCATCTTAGTTGCCATGACCCATGGCGGGCCATTAAAATAATCACACTTCTGAAAGCCCATGATAATACCTTGAAAGAGCCTTGCAGTTGATCACTCACATTTTGTAAACACTAAAAGTACCATAAATGACGTCATGGCTGATCAAGTCAAATTAGGCCAGATGCATTTTTACCTGGTTCTTTCAAGAATATTGGCATTATAGAATAGCAGCTAGAAAATCTGAGGAAACTGGGTATAATCAATTTATGATGTTCCTCCTACCTATCAATCAAGTACGGTAGCAATGACTTAAAGTCTCTCTCAGTCCCTTTAGACAACCGCTTGTCGTCCAGTATACTGCAGGAAAGAAGAGTGGAAGAAAATAATAACAACCACCCCAAAAATTGGAAGGTTTGGCTTTGTCTGCATTGCTATTCCCAGCATTGATAAATGGTCAGGATACCTTGGCAGAGCCATGGCATGGACCCCGTAACCCCTGCAGTTGGAGGGGGCCTCCGACATTTAACTTGCCCAAATTTTTTATTTGGAAAACAAGTATCAGTTTGAATGCATGGAGCATAAAACTGATAAGTCACAATTGGCCTCCAAAAGTCAAGTATCGGCTCTGGTACTTTAGTAGTGATACTCAGTTGGAAGTGGAGTGTTAGGACTTTTGGACTCATTATTTCCTGATGTGGAAGGAGTCATGGTTTAAATTTAAAACTAAATACCAAAGATAATGATATAGGTGGCAATGCACTACACAGTTTTGGGGTGTAAACCTTTAAGTTTAAGGTTTCTTTTTATGGAAAATTTATTCCACTTATGAATAGAGGGTTCAAGGTGTGGAAATTATTAGGGATTGTTCCTTAATAGCTTAAGATTAAAAAAGCTTAGGATAAAAATATATGGGCCTATATCAGGGGTTTCCAAACGCCGTCCATCAGGCCAGCTCTCATAAAATGACCTCAAGGCTAGATGGAGATAAAAAAAACAAGAAAACTATTGATTTTTACTTATTTCCTCTTCCTAAAAATCAATACCTGATATTGGCATTTCTTTTTTATTTATTATTCTGCAGTCCACATTACTTCAAGCACATCAAAATATCTGCACTGGCATTGCTAAAAATGGTCATGCATGCACGATCTGGTGGAAATCTAGAGGTGATGGGTCTCCTTCTTGGAAAAGTTGATGGTAACACAATGATTGTGATGGATGGTGTGGCTTTGCCAGTGGAAGGAACTGAAACAAGGGTCAATGCCCAAGCTCAGGCATATGAATACATGGCTGCCTACACTGAAGCTGCAAAACAAGTACTATTTGGGAGTCAAATTTTTTATTTTTTTACAAATCACTTATTACAATTAATCTTCTGCTTTTTAGCTAAATGTTTTTTGTTTTTCACAAGTGGAAACTGACTAGACTGTTTTCTTGTTATTAGGTGAAAAGACTTGAAAATGCAATAGGCTGGTACCATAGTCATCCAGGATACGGATGCTGGTTGTCTGGCATAGATGTTTCCACACAGATGCTAAACCAGCAGTTTCAAGAACCTTTTGTAGCAATTGTGGTAACAATTCTTGAGAAAAAAAATCAGATAGTTTCAATGTTGGAAACCTCAAATACATTTGGTGTTAATGTCATATAAATATACATTGGTAGTTCCCTAAAATCGTGACAGAAATTTTTCATTTATTTCCTAAATAAAAAATCATACGATTAAGCCCATATTACCATTTAGTCTTAATGCACATTTTAAATTTGTATCAGTTTTAAGGTTCCTTTGCTTTACCTTTATAAACGTTTTTTTTAAAATGTAGTTATCTAACATCTTCCTACCTAAGGTATACTCCAAGTCAATTTAATTAACTAAAATACAGTGTAGGATTTTTTAACCCTTGTAGATGTTATTTAAGGACTCTGCAAGAATATTGTCTTGTTGTTAGTTCAATTTGTATTTCTTGTTTCTTTTTTTAAATTCAGATTGATCCAGTCCGTACAATCTCAGCTGGAAAAGTCAACATTGGTGCTTTCAGAACATATCCAAAGGTATTCAAATGCATGATGATTTTTTTAAGCCTTTAATAATCTCATAATTCATGAGAAACTGATTTCATTCATGAGTACAGATTTTCTCAATGGAGCTGTTCATAAAGGATGTTCGCATAAAAATTACACATTCTCCCTCCCAACCCCCCCCCCCCCCTTTTTTCACCCTCAATAAGTCTTCAAATATAAATTATCCTATTAAAGTCAACCAAAGCTTAGAACTGCATGAAGCGAGTAGATATTGAACTGCGACCCACCAAGAATCGAGGCCTGGGACCCACCTTCAGAATGGGACTCGGACCAGGAGCTCTGCAGACAAATTTTGCAGCCGCCTGATAGCCTAGCTCACAATGTCTCATGTAATCTGGCAATGGTGTGTAAAAATTGGCCGGGAAACCCACTTGGCAGGGCAACCAGATTTAGAGGGAAAAAATTTAGAGTCCAAACTCACCTTGTTTACTTTTGTTGATTAATGACAACCAAATATATAGAGTGATCTCCCTCATTAAGTTTTTACTAACTAGTTGGTGTTTTAAGATTACAATTTATTTCGCAAGTAGATCATCCATAGAAGATGCAAACTTGCCAACCCTTCCCATTTTGTCAGATTTATACAGATTTTTTACCCCTCATTCCGACAAAGCCTTTAAAATTCAGATTTTCCGAACATTATAATTTTTCCCTCATTAAAAACATGCAAGTGACATAAAAAAAAATTGGGTACGACAGGAAGTGGTGCAAATTTGATGATGCCATTTCCTTTGTTTTTACAAAGTGTCTACATGTCCGGTGACCGAACGAATATCTTGAAAACTTATTATAAATTTGACCAAGTCACATGACCCCCATACCAAATTTGCACGAGATATTTGTCCGTCAGCCTTGTCACGTGACCACTAATAGTCGATCAGAGTTCACAGTACTTCATAACAACAAATTTAAGATATTCTGGACATTTTGTAAAAAAGAAATATGTTCTGTTCTACAAAAGAAACACTAGAACCATTGCTGGTATATATAATGAACAGATGGTAAAAAGGGACATGTTAAATAAAGCGTGACATGCCCGCCAAATGAATATCTCATGCTCTATTTGTCCGGTTGCCAAACGTGTAGACACTGCCTTGTTTTTTGTTTTTAATGAAGCAAACCGGGATCTCCAAATCATTCTTCAATCATCAATTGATCTGATAGTGATTCATCCTTTTACTAGGCTCAAAAATAATTCAGTTGTATTGTGCCTTATTTTTTTTGGTTAAAACTTTGCTTAATTAAATGGATAAATCTATTGAAAGTGGTTGGTACAATGATATTATTAAACATATTTGGACGATTCAGTTATCAGATCGGAATTTTTATTCACCATCTTTCTTATTGAAGGAAATATTTCGCCGGCATCCCCCCCCCCCTTTTACAGATTTTGTTCTTGGCAGCTGAAGATGTCAACAAATTAAATGTCTTAAACAACCTGGAATACAAGCAGCATATAATAAAAGATGCTAGCGTGTGGACATCCAAATTGATAAATTTATTGAAAGTGGTTTGTACAATTATATTATTAAACATATTTTGACGATTCAGTTATCAGATCGGAATTTTTTTTCACCATCTTTCTTATTGAAGGAAATATTTCGCCGGCATCCCCCCCCCCCCTTTTACAGATTTTGTTCTTGGCAGCTGAAGATGTCAACAAATTAAATGTCTTAAACAACCTGGAATACAAGCAGCATATAATAAAAGATGCTAGCGTGTGGACATCCACAGGATTCTTTACACCCCTTGTCCTCTTTTTGAATGACCTTCACCCCTTTTGCTGGATGTCCTTTATGAATGACCCCAATGGAATATTCATTGTTTTCATCCTCTTAGTTTTCATTATGTGAACTGATACTCAAGACTGATATACTGTTATATCAGTCTGGTTATTAGAAACATTTTAAGATGTTTGTATAAAAGTACACTTGCACTAGTCTTATATACAGGGATACAAACCACCAGATGAGCACCCTTCCGAGTATCAGTCCATTCCACTCAATAAGATTGAAGATTTTGGAGTTCACTGCAAGGCGTAAGTTGGTGTTATTACCTTTTATATATACTATGGATCTAGTTAATTCAGCTTTGTACAAATATTTTTACTGAATATTTGATATTGTCGCAATTATTTATTACTCTAAAAAAATAATAATTAGTTTACTTGGACTGTTAAAATTGTTGAAAATATTTTTGTATTTAAATGCCATGGAAACCAATCCATTTGGCAACAAGTTTGTTGATTTAAAATATATTAATTTAATATGAATTTCATGGCGAATTTTTAGAAATCTTAGATTATAAGTATATGCTATTTTAGTTTTATATTTCACTTTTATTTAGCACAAGCTATTTCTAGTCATTGCATTAGAGCAACTTAAGTGAAAAACAAATCATGCCAACGCTTACTTTAATATGTCATGCTAATCAATTACCAGTTACTATCCCTTGGAAATGTCATACTTCAAGTCTTCAATGGACAGGCGCCTTCTGGAATCTTTGTGGAATAAATATTGGGTCAATACTCTGAGTTCATCCAGTCTTCTAACTGTACGTAGTGTGTACTTATTTTAGGGACTGTGTCTATCTCAAGGGGGGCGTCTGTATATTAGATTTTCTCTTAACAATGTGTATGTGTACAAAGTTAAGAGTCAAAGAATCTTAAAACGTTGCTGTCATTGTTGTGACCAATGTGTCCCCACAGTCTTCTGTTTGTTTACTTTACTAATGAAGTCAGTCTTGTGTAATTTTGCACCAATTGAATAAATCTTCTTTGATTCTCAATTTAAAAAAAGAAGATTAAATTTCTTTTGGTGAATTTCAATATTGGCCAAATTAGGGGTGAAATTAAAGTAGCAGTTTGTTTAATAAAACAAAACAGTGATAAATAAAAACAAGTTGGTTTTATTTTAATGAAAATTTACTGGTGTGGGGGTAAAAATTATTTTTTAGTGTCACCGCTTTTGGTCCTAAAATGTAAAAAAAAATAAATCATTTTTTTTTCAGAATGCTGATTACACAACAGGCATGGTCTTTGATTTATCTGACAAACTTGAGCAATCCGAGTCCCAGTTGGGCCGTGGCGGTCTTATAGGAACAGATACACAGGACAAGAAGACAGAGGATAAACTTACTAAAGCAACAAAGGATGGGTAGGTTCAAGTGAAACAATTGACTTGAAATGCATTTTTACAGAGTTTGGCACTATAATGGTTTCTTTCTCTAGATAATGCTACAACCACATGAAGAAATGTTCTTAACCATTAAGATTTTAATCTTTCATTTATCCGCAGTTGTAAGACTACAATGGAAGTACTGCATGGTTTGATGTCGCAAGTAATCAAAGATAGACTTTTCAATCAAGTACACTGTAAGGCTATAGACGAGGTTCAGCAAGCACAGCCAACAGCTCAGTAAATTTTAGTGATGCATTTTAGGAAATTTTCTTTAAGTGAATATAACATGTAAATAATATCCTCTGTCACGCAAGTATTGGAAATATGTTTGCTTAAAGAAGGAGGTCATGGGTTTTTTTTTCAAGAATTGAAAGCATTATTATAATTATGAAAATAAGTTCTAAGCGCAACTATCTAAATAAATTTCTTGATACAGCCAGTGATCGACTTACGACCAGGATCGGTTCTGACAGACTGGTCGTAACAGGATTTGGGCTTAAGTTGAGTACGCTATGTGAACAGTAATGTGAAGTAATGTTATAAAAATATTTAAGTTAAATTATATCATAATTTCTTTTATTATTGTTATAAATCATAATTTGAGATGGGAGTTCAAATTTTAAAACTCTGAAGAGCTCTCTAATCAATAAGCTTTAGCGGCGCTTGGGGAAGTCAATGGACCTAGGTTTATTGATGACACCGGCTAGCAGCATAGCATCATCATGGCATTATGCCTCCCTTTCCTTAGTTAGCGACCGCTGATGATTGCAGACGACGCCGTTCGACTGATAAGTGAGGCAGAAATAAATTTGAAATCTAATATGGCTAGTGATTGTGGTCGTAAAGTCGATTGGTCGTAAGTTGCTTAGGTCGTTGTTGAGCACTGGCAGTATAGTGTTTTTCGACATGGTCTTGCTTGTAGCAGAAAGGGAAATATTTTTATTGAATACTGAATTTCCTTTGTCATTTATTTTTATAGTAAGAAGTGCAATCATGGTTAATGTAAAATAGATACTGTATTTTGTGAATAATTAATCTCAAAATCAGTGTTTGCACATTAAAATATCTCCATCACAATTTAAGATACTTTTTTTTTAAATATCTTCAGTTAGTTTTGTAATGACCAATAAAATAATAATTTGTGTTTGTTGGAAGTTGTTTAAATATTTATGATTTTTCAGTTTAAAGTATTTTATGAGTCATGTTTGTTAAAAGCAAGTTAACCATTGAAGTTTTACCATTTACTTTGTTGGAAGTAGTTTAAATATTTATTATTTGTCAGTTCAAAGTATTTCCTGAGTCATATTTTGTTAAACGAAGTTAACCATTCATTGAAGTTTTTCCTTTTTTTTCCTGGTAAGGAAGTATCTTGTCTTGAAATGTTTTAGAGGTTTTCTACTTGATGATTTACCCACAAGACTATACCATCATAAAGCAGAATTAAATCTCTAATTGCACATTCTTTTCGTTTTTTATTATTTTTAGTTTACAAAAAAAATTCACTTAAACAACAGCCTAACAATTATTTACAGAATTAGTTTCATTAGTACCACAGAAATTAGAACCACATGAAGAAACTTGAAGTTTTATCTGCAAGTATTTGTTAAATTTTGGGAGATAATTTGTACTTGAAAAATTCAGCATACAAGTTCCAGTATAATGCAGTTGTACTGACAATAGCACATTTAAAACCCTAACCTTCCTAATGCCGCATCCCTTTAATACAGTTCCTCATGTTGTGGTGACCCCCATCCACAAAATTATTTTCGTTGCTACTTCATAACTGTAGAGTATATGTGTTTTTTGTTTTTTTATGGTCTTAGGCGACCCCTGTGAAAGGGTTTTCCGACCCCCAAAGGGGTCACAACCCATAGGTTGAGAACCGCTGCCCTAACCCATTCTTATGCCTTCCTAACTGAATATTTGAAATGGACATGAACTTTAAACACAACCTACTGGTTACATGCATAAATACAAACAAGTTCAATTTAGTGCAGGGGTGGGCAAACTGATACTATGCGGCCCTTCAAGGCATTTAGAAATTTAAAAAATTAATTTGTTTTTAAGTTGTTTTGTTGAATTTTACAGAATTTCATGTACCGTTATGATTGTTTTAAAATTTTTATTTAAATTTCTTTCTAATTTATTTTTTTAAACAGTGCGTGACTTTTGCATTTTTAATGCTAAAATGCGAATTTATTGATTTTAATGTAGAGAAATGTTTATCGACATAAAAATTCGACATAATATACATTCGGCCTCCCAGTAGCTTTACATTTGTCAATGTGGCCCTCTGCACAAAAAGTTTTCCCACCACTGATTTAGTGAGTTCAGATCTTAATATATAAATATTAATATTAAAATAATTTAGGAAGTCTTTAATTGTACAATTTAATGTTTATTTATGTGGCAGACAGTTCAGACATAATGATAAGCTATTTTTGCTATACTTCAAGTATGCTGCATGTAACAAGTTCAGTGAAAGCTTTATAGTTTGTGAAAAATGATAAAATACCAAAAGCAGTAATATAAACTATATAAAAGGGAAAAAATGAACTTATGTGGCAATATTTTTTTCAACATAGAAAAATAATTTTCTTAAATATAGGACAAAGCCATTGTAACATTTACTGGCCAAATTAATGTTGTTGTACTGGACATCTACAAGTTAGTTTAAAAAATGCCAATTTTTCAGTCAAGATCATATGCCTTATAGATTTATATTTTTCAAAAGATAAGTAAAAATGTTTTAGAAAGTGATTTAAAGAAGAAAGTACACAAATTAATTAAACATATGCTTAAATGAATTGGGTTAGAAAACTTTAACGTAAGAGAAATTTTTTAATTAAAACAAGTACATAAAATCACCTTTCATGACCTTAAAAAATTATTTAAACCAGGGATATCCAAACAATTTGTCATGGCCCAAAATCTCACCTGTTAGAAATACAGTCAAATCAACAATAGATAAACTGAAACGCTAGTAATGTGACTTCTTTGTATTGAATCAGATAGATCAATTGAAATAAACTGTAGACAGTAAAACCTGACAAATATTTTTTAAATTGGAATTTATTAATAAAAATGCTGCTTTTACACGTTTGCGATTTTGTTTGGGTCAAATCTTGTAACTCAATCTTGACCCACACAAACGGACAGGGTGACCTAAGAAAAGGTCATACCATATCATTGTACTTCATGGGCCTTTCACGATTTTTTCAGTCATATGACTGAAGCAACTATGAAATTTTGGGGGGACAATATTTTAATACTTTTTAGAATATTTTTGGTAAAGCATGTTTTTTTAAAAATAATTTTTTTATATGGTTATATTAAAAAAAAAGTAGTTCCTTTTTGAAATGTCTTATTGGACTAGACATGGTGGAGTTAAAAATTAAATAATACAAAGTCAATAGATGCTCCAGCAGATCTGTGATCTTGGCTCGCGGGGTAAAAATTCTCAGACATAACATTGCTTCACAGAATAGTTTGAGGCAGAGGAGAATTTTGCCCCCAGAAGCCACGACACAAAAATTTTTGGTGTAGAAAGTAGAACGGATACAAAGAGGAATGAGCTGGTGGAAATAATTAGAGCTTTTACTTGACAACAGTTCCACGTTATAAAGTTGGTTGCAGGTTTCATTTATTAATTTCAGCTTTCAAGAAATGGCATTGGAAGACGATTTTCAAGCCATACTATGTAGTGCACGAACTAATAATCTTTAAGTCTATCAGGTTCATAGAGCGAGGTATGGAATTGCTCAATATACGGCACAAAGAGATTAACAAAATATCCATTTTTCCACAAAGTTCAAAAGGTTGAAACTCTTGTACTACACTAAGGAATCTCTGACATACAGCACAAGCACACAACACAATCAGATTTCAATCTTGTTTATCCTAAAATAGAGCATTGGCAGGATGTCAATTAAACATGTTACTTCTGTTTACTTTTAAGAATTTATTTTGCTAACAGATAAGTTTCATGTTACATTTGGGAGTCTGCACTGAAAAGAAACCAGAATAACTTTGACATTCAATTTGATTTGTACTAATTGTACTCATAAAATTGTTGATCTCATGCAGGGCCAGAAGATCAGTTTTGCTCAATATAAAAATTTTTTTTAAAAAGCTTTGGATAATAAACTATAAAATCTTACTGGGTATTCTTTTTTGGGTTTAGTCCACACAGTAACAGTACCATACTCTTTATCAGTAAGACAAACAATATCTGTAAAAATACTTTTTATCCAAGCATTTTTATTTTAATAGTTTACACCCAACTAGAATTCTTTTAAACGAGCAAGGGTTTTGTTTTTAGCTGCAGATTTCTTTCGTTACAGGTTAACTTTTAAAAATAAAATTTGACTTTATTTACACAGGGTACTTTAGGCTGAAGGGAAAATTTGATTGTGAGAAAAATTCAAATATCAATTTTCTTTAATAATTATATATATATTTTTTCTATTTTAATTTGTTTTGTATACAGTTGGAAACAATATATATTTTTAAAAAAACATAGCATGCGTGTAATAGTCACATGGACATGAGATTAAACATAAAAGTACCTGTGAAACCAACTTGTAAAAACTAATAATTTTTTATTTGCTAAAATACTATTACTATATGTGTAACAAAAAACTACGGATACAATATTACCAAAAATTAAATACAAATTAAGGTATCAGAGCTGAGAACATACATTGTCAATTAAAAGTAGTCTTCTGAGCCACTTGTAACACAGCCGATAATCATATAGAATTTAAAAAAAATTTTTTTTAAAAATTCAATGGATTTGCTTGAAACATTTTTATTTTCATGGAAAGTGATTTACAAAAACTTCTGTTACGTCAAAGAGTATTGGTTAGGAGATTTTCAAACAAAGCAAACATTATAAATTATTGTTTAAATATAAATGTATAAAGTTAACGTATCAAAAGCAAGAAAGACTTCATTTGGAATTAATAAGTTTAAAAGATTGATAATTAACAGCATTGAAACCATCTTCAAAACCTTAAAGACAAGCAGGTTTTTGATCTAATGGTAAAAAATGGATCACCCCAAACATTCACAACTCAGTTTAAACGAATCAGAATTGGGAGAGCAGCAGTTTCATAATATATTTTTTAAAATTATAAATGCACTTTCATTTTTGTATTTTAGTTTTATTGAATAAGTTCCTAAAATAATAATTTGGATTCAGATTGCAGGAATGTAATGAAGTTAATTTATCTAGTAATAATATTCTAGCATTCTTTGCATTAGTCAAGAAGTAGTTTGTTTTTTTAAATGGTGCTAATTTTCAGTCTTATTCGCTTTTAATATGCATAAAAACTATCTATGTGTGTATATATCTATAATTTATGCATCTACACTAATTTAAATAACATTTACTTTTTTAACACCCAAAAATGCATTTTTAATAAGGTAGATTAAAAATGAAAATACATATAAAATATATATTTTATTGAATTTTTTATTGCTAAATGTATAGTATAAATGTATGTGCATAAATGAGGGTGAATACAAAAAACAACAATGAAAGAAATCGGTAATGAGCACCAAACTAGATGGTTTGTGTCAATATTCAATTAGTTCTAAAGTATGAAACATGATTAAAACAAATAAAAGTACCGGTATGAATTTTTAAGTCCATAAGTTCTGAGAAAAAATAATAATAATCATTTCAAATTTAATAAACATTCCTAAACTAAACCAATCTTTGTTTCCTAAACTAAACCAATCTTTTATTTAACATGCTAAAATACTTTCACAAGATGCTTACTAGTGGAGATGAGATCTCAAAGCACATTAAAATAACTTATTTAAAAGGAACACAATAATTTGGAATGTACTTTGCATTTTTAAATACTAAGCACATAATTAAATTTAATGCATATTACATATGACAACTTACACCAGAAAAATTACGACCATACCCCACTCCCTGATAGTTTTAAAATTATATGACCTTTTGAATAACAGTCTTTCTATTTACCTCAGTAATAAATATACATATTACATATGAACAACACTGTAAAAAAACTGCATGAATAAAAATGATTTGTACTATGGCGTAAGGCACTGTATTAAATATTATACTAAAGAATACATTAAAGGCATTGGCAAAATATATTGTAGATAATTTGAAGAAACATTTCATTTTAGATGTTAATGCTGCAATAATATATATGAAAGTATTTTTTGAAAATAATTTTTTACATGGATTTCTTTTGAAACCTTTTAGAGATGCATGAAGTCAAAAAGAAGAGAATAGTTTTTAAAAAAACAATTTACAGTTCATTTAGCAAACCTGCTTTCAGTTTAAGCTGCTTGAGACAAATGTATTTCATATAATATATCAAATGAGCCAGCTTTACATTATAAAACAACAAATGTAAAGTTAAGAGCATTCCTACATTTGTTCTGTTGAGCAACTAAAAAAAAAGTCTTTAAATTGATCAAAAGTTATGTGAAAATTCAGTCAGCTTAACTCTAATTGAGCCGAGTGTCTGTAAAAATGTCAGACTTGCTACCAAGTCTACTAAAGATATGTATATTTTAAAGCTTTTTAGGTGTCATGATTTGTGAATTCAATTATGTATTTTTATGTCATGCAACAAATTATGGATTAGATTTTTTTTACTCTATCATAAAAAGCAAAAATAACCATTAATTTTTTTTGCATTATTGCACAACAGGTCTAAAGTTTTTTGTATTTATAAAGATACAAGTACTGTAACATTTAAGTTACTTAAAGGGAAAAATTACTTTCCAATTTTTCGGAAACAAAATTTGTAAAATGCCAGTAGCATGAACTGCCTTTTTAAAAGTTTTAATATTTCTTAAAATATAACTAATTAATGTAATACAACACAATTAATTTTTTTTTAATTGCTGATTATTTAATTTGCAGTTTTATGGATTCTTGTGCCCAAAGGTTTGAAAGGAAATGAGCATATGACTAAACTCTTTAAATTAGATTTTGTTAAATTGTTTGAGGTACAATTTTTTTCAACATATTGTCCCATTTATGTAATTTAGACCATTTCTTTTTATTTATTTGTTTTAATGCCAATCATTTCCTTAAAATAGACTGCAAAATGACAAACATTAGACATACAATTTCCTACTTTCCTTACCCCAGTGTATAATACTAGACAAATTCATAATGATATACTAAAGTACTATGTGGCTAATATATATACAAATTACAACATATTGAGATAAGTTGCCATGCTAACACAGTGGTCAAAAAACATGTACAGCTACAAAATATTAAAGACTGAAGTGTTTACATATTTTATATAATTTAACTGCAGATCATTAGGTGAAGGATAAAATAACACTAACATTACATTCAAATAAAAAATGCAGTGCAAAAAGGTCACTATTTTTTTATAAATAATTCAGAAAAAGGTTTTTGGCTATAAAATAAATGTACAAAATATATCCCTACACATAATTTAAGTAACGGAGTGATGAACATTCAAATTAAAATAATTAAGAAAAACATATCAAAGGATTCACAATTTTGATTGCTTTAGTTTGACATAAACACTATAGATATAAAAAATGAAACTATAATTATAAACAAATGTTAAAATAAGGTTGCAAAGTCATGAATTTTTTTTTTTAAATACATAAAATATTGATTTCTTTCTTTATTATATTTATCTCTTATAGCAGATAAAATATATTTCAAATTATTCTAAAATGCACAGAAACAAGTTGCACTGAAAGTAGAAAATATTTAGAGCTCTCCAGACTTTTAACAAAAGACCTTTAGTTTCAAAATAAATTGATAAATGTACATTTTTTTTTTTTAAAGGTTTACCAAAAAAAATTAAATTTCTTTAATGTAGGAGACCAATGGGACATTTTCTGATGGATCTATTTTGATCTTGGGAACAGGAGAACGTGCAGATTTTGCTCCTTTCTCTGAGCTTTTCTCTGCAACTTTGTCAACCTTAAAACGGCCAATTTTGGGGGAGACGAACATGCTTTTGGGCATGTGAAATCGGTTTGTTGTTGACCTTGGTGATGGAAGACGATGAATGGTGAAGTATGTGTTGATATGTGAATCGCTTGTCTCAGACACTGGTCTCTTGTCCCCATGGGAAACATGTCGCCTTCTCATTTGAACTGAATCCTCGGAAGCAAAACCATTGTATGGGAGACTTCCTATTTGAATGGTCCTGTAAGCCTTTTCTTCATCTTGGCTATCATCATGCAAGTATACTGACTGCAGAAAAGATAAACTGCACTTTATTATTTCACATTCTGGCAGCTAAATAACTTTTGAAAGCATAAAATGTGTTAAAGGAACCAGAAACTAACTGTAATGGTCTTTTAGTTATAGTTACTTAACAAACAAGAAACCTTAGCTTGAAAAATGTGATTATAAAAATAGATAATCCTTAATGGGAATGAAGATTTACATGACAACTTAATGTTACAACTTAATTTTTTACTATAAGTCCATATTCCTTTTTATTCTCAAATTATATTCAATTACTGCAACAAGAAAACCCTTATAAAGACATCTTTTGATTGCTCTAAATTGCACTGAATTAGAGGCATCAAATAAAAAAATTAAATGATACATTTAACATCTAAAATGTTTTAATTATAATTGAATAATGTGCATTTTAAATTATTGTCTTAGAGTACTCACACTACAATGAAGTATAGACACACAAAAAATAGGCTAAAGAATTCATTAGTAATAAATTATATATTTTTTTAAAAGAAATTTTTATGAGACGTTCGCAAGAAACAAAAGTGTTAGATTTATACTGTCATGTAGTTAAGTCTAACTATGTGCAATATTAATCGTGAGGAAAAATTAGACCTGAGGTCAGCCGCATCAAAAACCTGATTTTTATTTGTAAACAATTAAATGAGCTATGAATAAGGACATTTTAATTAAAGGGGTTTATCCCTTAAGATGAAATACATTTCAATGAAAAAAGTAATCTAAACGTCTGTCCTGACTAATTTTATGATAGGGACAAGTCTTATCAAAATATAAAGCATCTGTCCATTGCTCCTTTGGTGTTCTTGTTGTGCATAGCCCCTGTCTATACATGTTTCCACTATAGCAATGAGTCAGTCGGGTAATACTTCTTCCAATGATAACCTTTATTTGAGCTGAATCATTTCTGCTACAACATTTTTTACAACATTTGATGTTGGGAGGAGGGGGGGGGGTGCTTTTTTTAAAATTTATATTATTAAATAAATCAGTGATGCTTTTAAAATGAAGTGGTACAACACCTCACTTACTTGGTGTGCCAAAGACTGCGTATTTAAATTAATTTCAAGATATTAGAAATTACTTGAAAACATTTATATACAAATGGTTTTTGAATGAAATGTATGATAACTCTTATTGTTGATAGACATAGCAAAAGTGCAGCTATTAAATATCTTTTAAAAAGGTGAGAAAAGTATTTTTAAAATTTGCTCATCATTAAATATTGTTATTTTTTATTTAGGATTATTTAAAGCAGACTGCAGAGCTCATTAAGGCATCATAAAAATAATATCTAAAGCCAATAATAAATTTTTAAAGTACTAAAAACACTAAAATTGCTTTAGGAATCCCCCCCCCCCTCTCTGAAGTTAGTTATGTCCACCATAAGGCTCATAAAGTAGGTAATTTTGATAAGGTGTATTAAGTGAAGAAAATATTTTTAAAGTTGAAGTGAAAAAACAACTATTTTTTAAGTAAATGACTTTTTAGGTGCTATACACTTATGACATTGCTATACAGAAAAATGTATTTCATTAAAGAATTTAATTTGGTTATTGAATTTAATGAGAGATTCTATAAAACATCTGATAAAATAATTTTTTTAAAGTTAAAGAATATTTATCATTCTGGTTAAATTTCAAGCAAATTAAAAGACTTCACTATATTAACTGTAAAATCTGAAATGTTAAATCTAGTTTGTCAGTATAGTTTTCCCTCTGAACTCTGATACACAGTTTACCTTTTTAAGTTGAAGTTTGTGAGACTGGAAATATCAATTGCAAGTTTAAAACGAAATACAGATAAGTATTTCTGGGTGAACTAAATCATGAAAGCACAGTTGCAGCTTTTAATTGGATAAATGAGAATGAACAGGATGTATTTATGCTTGTACAGCATGCGCCAAAACTAGCAGTAATCCCTGCATCTTGAATGCTTACTTTTGTTTGTCAACTGTGCACAACTCCAGCTGTAAAGTGACCATTGAAGTGAAAACAATTTTATGTTTGACAGTTGTAAGAAATGGGTCTCTCCACAGAGGAAAAGTTATTCATAGCTGAGCGCTATTTTTAGCTAATACGTTAGTGAAATGTAAATCGAAAAAAATGTAGTAGAAAAATTGTGATAGAGATAATATAAAAAGACGACACATAGTAACATGATCCTGGAAAGGTACTTTGTCAACAGAGGGGGAAATCTGATAGACTTTCTTAATTAATGTGACTTTCTTCTGAGAATCACTACTTCCTATAAAAACTGGATCCTCGTACACTATAACCAGAAATTTCCACAATACATCATCCTGAGTCACATTCTGGCTCCGTCCTATCTGTATGCAGTACGAAAATGTCCTATCGTCTTAAACAATCGGTGAACAACCTACAATGATGTTCAGTTTAAAAGATGTTCCTTGCAGTTTTCATTTGGGCGAATGCAACACGTTCTAGAGAAACAGGCATGGTTCTCATCAACAAAAAATTTAAATATCGATAAGACTTCCTCTTCTGTTGACACAAGACAGTTCTATAATGGCGAAAATATGTAACAATAATAGACACAATTGTGTTACATGGTGCCGTCTTATTAAATCTCTCTTTAAATTTTTCAGCCACCTTTTTTCAATCATGGTCCCCATCATAATTACTTAATTTCTTGCGTATGATCGAAAATAGTGCAGAGAGACCCATTTCCAACAAAACTGCCCAACAAAACTTCCTTGGCATCCCAGAGATCACAGGGTGGATGAAGCTAAGCCACATTGAAAAACTCACGTATGCAGTCAAGATTTAAGAGGCAAGTGAGACATTTTTGTAACCACTAATGTTCCATAATTATTAAATTTTAAAATGGTATATATGTTTTCTCTATTTTATTTTTCAAAGTTGTTATTTATCAAAACCACACTTTCGGATTATTAATTTTAAGTTAATTATTACACCATCGCCACAGTTAATTATTTTTGATCTAACGTAATTTTAATTTAAACCAGTCCGGTCCAGAAAAAAATCAATAATCACAGAATAGATAATTATTACAAGGAACTGATGCTGAACGGAATCTTACTGGCAAGATATGGCAATTTATGAGATATTAGAAATATGAAGTAAAATAAAATCAAGATGTTGTTTACTAATTTTTTTACCCGTGAAATGAAGATAATCATTAAAAACAAAAATTTTCTCTTAAAGTCTTTAAATAAATAAATCATGATTTTTCTTTCATTCAAATTAGATATATTGATATGGAGAGAAAAAAACAACTCACCCATCTTTTTGGCTTGTGTGGCATCAAGTCAGCTATTTCCTTCACTGATTGACTCTCTTCCACTTCCTGTTTTTATAACGAAAATATGTTTTTTAAAATGAAAAAAACCCAAATAAAAGCTATTTATTTCATCCTAATTTTAAATGTCTTATATCCAACAGTATCTTGCCTTATGAGTATCCCATACCTTATTATCCTATTCATTACCATCATAAGTATCAGTCCCATCACCAAGGTCCTCCCAATAGTATCTTACCCATCTTAATATCATACCCATAAGTATGAACAACCCATCATAAGATTAGTACCCAGTATTTTACTCATTAGTATCTTACCCCTTAGTATCTTACCTCAACAATCTGATGCAGCTCCTCCTCATCTTGGTTAGAGTCAATTTCAACACCGAGTTCATTTTTCACTTTCTGGATTGAAAAGCAACATTACATGAGCGTTTTTATCCCCTTTAGTTTAAGCTTCTAAACTTATATATATGCTTTTTTTGTAATTTAATATCATACCAATTTATATTGATACCATTTCCTAATGACCATACTTGATGAGATCACAAAGCACTTAAGTGGTAAATTTTTAAGCGCTAAGCACATTTAAATAAAACATATTCAGTGAAGGCTCTGCTTTGAAAAGATCAAATGACACCCAAAACAAATATTTCTAAATATCAAACATATTTACCCTGTATTCTTGAAGGAACTTTTTGCCTAAAATAGCAGAGGTTTGACCTTTGTTGGTTGTATTAGACTCTCTGGCAATCTGTATAAAATATAATTACAATGAGTTCAATTCTTTTTATAGAAAAGACACAATGATGAGGTCTTAGCTTAATTCAAAATTAAATATGCTTCAAGTAAAGTTTTTTTTTAAAGCTTAATTAATGAGAAATAAGTTATGACATCGAAACTTGTAAGGACTCTTCTGTCTTACTATTTTTAAATTTTGACGATTGATAAAAAAAAATGTGATTTAACAAACCTTAATGTCCTCCCCAAAAAACTGGTTTTCTGCTGCAGGTCCTGAATGAATGGGTGCAACTTCCTTTATCTGAGAGAAACAAAATAGTTATTTGGGAAACAATAAAAACCTGTAAAAAAACAATGCATCCTGTGGGCAGCAACAATATTTCCATGATTTTTGTTGCAAGTTATTTTTTATTTTTTTTTGTGTGGTATTCATTAACTTAGCTGTTTCTTTTTTAAACCACTGACAGCCATCCTTAGCCTCATAAATGGTTACAAAAGTTTTAATTTGTTTACCTTTAAGACCACAATTCCCATGATGATGATACAAACAATGTTGAGAATGGTGAGCAGTAGGCTGACCACACCAAGTACTACACTTTCTCTGGCCATGTCACAGAAGTACTCAGGGACAAACTCATTGTCTTTGAATGCTGGACATTTGAGATGACCTTTGTATTCTGGTTGTGAGACTGTTGTGCCATTATCACTGGAATTTGCAATGCTACTCTGACAAAGACAAAAATAATTATATTATTTGCTAAATATTGTATGTGCATCTTAATAAAAATAAAAAGTATAAAAGAATTATGAGATATTTTTTTCTTTTTAAATATTGAACACTTACATAGTTTATGAGTGGTGGTCGGAATGTTACAACCAGAGCATTTGCCCAGAGCAACCCCTGCAAATGTCATAAATTTCAATTGACTTTTGTAAAAAAAAAAAATGATTAATCAACATGAAACATAATATTTAACATTATTATGCATAGATAAAAAGCATTCATTAGGTACAATGCATCAATACCAAACTCATAGTTAAAAAAGCATCATAAAGTATACATTACATAAAACATGATGGGAATCAAATTTAAGCATTTTTCTAAAATAAAATGTTCATCAATTTTGAAAAAAAATTTAAACCTCAACCTTTTTATTACTAGAGTTGTTTGTTCCTTTTTTGTTTTGTTTTTTGTACACTAACAATAAAATGAATAATTACAGCATTGACAGCAGGTGGCAGGAGTGAGGCTGATATGGCAACACCAACAAGAGAGCCAACTTTGCCCCCTAGGATAGACAATGCAACACCTGCACCAGAAGGGATTGCTATGAGAACACCCACAAGAAGAGACCTAAGAGAACCTCTGCAATCAGAGAAATGAAAATAAATTATTTAAATTTATCATGTAGCTGATAGTTTTAAAAATGATAAACTGAAGCATACAAGGAAGTGGTCAAATTAAATTCACTGTAAAATGAAAAATATTCTTTTTACTAAGTTTACTATTGAATTAAAGACACATTACACTATTAACCAAAATTAGTCCATGGATTTTAGATCCACTAGTTTCCTGCAAATCAGCTCATTTGCTAACTTTTCATTTATAAAAACAATATTTAGTATATTTATATTTTCTCTAATAATGCATGATCTCATCATAAGTTCAAAAATGAGTGTTGCTAAAATAACAGTTTTTAATCTTTAATGATGTGGTACTTTGTTCTTAATACAAAATAACACCGGTACCTGGTTCTTAATCTGAAGTAACAAAATTAATATTTTTCTACCTTTCACTTTCAGATTAACTATACTTGAATCTCTGTTAAGTCTCGGGTATAATTTTTAAAATTCCTTTATTAGTCCAGAACACATATTATTATCCATCCTGTGAATTCAGTTTTAAAACCACTGCTGTTGTAAGTTTTGAGATGCTCTCACCTGGTTGACATTTCTATAGTTGGCCAGCTGTTAGTTGCTCTCCATTTTGCTCCAACAGTTTCCAGTATGGCCGGGATAAATCCAGACACAAAGCCTGAAAGAAGTTTTTTGTCATATCAGTGATTTTCAAGGATTATATATTTTTCATTTCGATTTGAATTTCAGAGGACCTATTTATTAAATTTTAACTGCTGTCTGTTAATGTTTAGTGTTAGAGGTAAACTTCGTTTTCATAATTTTATAACAGTACTATCAAAATATAGTTTTGTCACTTTACTCTAATAGCTATTTGATAGTTGTATGACAACAATGATACACACCCATTATGATACAAAGGCAAAGACCCTTGATTTCAGATCTGAAGCCAACCTTAAGAAGGTCCATGTTTTGAATCACAGTACCGAACACTCCAGCTATTATAGGACCCTGTTCAGATGATTCAATTAAAAAGGGGAAAATTCCTTTATGTTAAATATGGCTAATAAGGAGGAAGTAGCTGATCCAAATTAAATTCAAATATGCTTTAATAAGATCAGAAAAAATTTAGATTAGCTTTCACAATTTTTTTCTTCAAACCTGCCATCATTTGTTACAGGCATTTTTAAAAAATGTTATTTACGCATTGCTGTTATGATGTTATGAATCATGACCAACTTAACTAAAATTAAATTAGAAACTAGAACCAGCAACATTTTGTTTTATGTTCATGCTTAAATTAATAAATATATATACAAACAAGCTCAAAATATGCCAAACCCCTAATTATTTTATAAAAAGCATATATATTGACAGGCCATCCTTTTAAAAATCTATGATTCAATAATGGTGCACATCTTAAAATCACATTAAAATTATACATTATGAAACATTATGAAATGAGTGAAAAGACTTTGGCTAAATGAAAATGTATATTATTAAGTGAATATACTATCAAATAAAATAAAAAGAAAGAATTAACAATAAATTATGGTATAAAGAAAAGAATACTAGTTCTTCAAAAGCATTTGCACTATTATGAGGAGTTTTACACAAAGCATACATCAACAACCTGGCAACCTTACCATTAAAGGGGAAACAAGCATACTTGCAACAAGTGCCACTGAACTTGCTTCCAAAAGGCCCATTACAGCAACCATACTAGAAAATTAGTGAAGTTGACAACTTATTTTCAAAATATTTGGGATTAACTTTTTTTTTGTTTAAAAGATATTCAGATAAATATTTCTGTAGCAAATTACATTTTTCTCTAAAGATCAATAAGTCAAATACTAAACAGTGGTGTTCAAACCATGACTTGCAACATGATGGTGTGTCACCAAGGTTCACAACTGTGTTGTAGGATTTGGATAAAAATTTTTAAAAATCAAAGGATAAAAATATCTATGGGGAACTAGTACCTAACAATTATTAAGAAATAATATAAACCATATTATTTAATATATCATATATACTTGTTGATAAGCTGAACCCCATAGTATTGACAGGGAAAAGCCTGAAAAGGGTGTACCCTCTCAGAAGTTGATCCCATAAAATAATACCCCAGCAGATGAAAAGGGTACCAAAGAAAGTTATTTTACTTTAAAATTCACGTGAAGATGACCAAGGCTTGAGCTGAATATTTTTTAAAGTAAGGAAGAGTTGCTCAATTCATCAGCCTCACTTTCACATTCTTGCCTATTTGATCCAATGGCAAGACTTAGTCAAGATGACTGCAAATTGATCAGGATGCATTAGATGACCAGCAGTTTTCTTCTGTCTTACTGTGCTCTTTATGCATTTCACGCTGCAGGGGGTTGTTGGAATTCTTAATGTGTCAATGGCATATCGAATACAGGACTCAATCTCCGGGTTTGATTTCAGAGTTTGCCTTCTCTTAGATAAGTTGCCATCCAAGGTTAATAAGTCCCATCCACCAGGGGCGCTGGTGTAAGTACAGCCAATCAATGGAGTCACAAAATGTGTTACCCAATTTCACATACCACTAATTTCACACATGGCTTTATGTTAATTACTTTTTCTCATTGTTTTCTATAATATAATTAATGTATATGGAGAAAATTATAAAAACTCCCATTTCACCGTAAGATAAAAAAAAGTTGAAAACAGCCAAAGTAAGGACCATAGGTCATCAACTTAATTACTCCTAATGAAAATGATTCTAGATGAAACTTTTGTGAAATACATTTTTTTATGTCATGTGTAGGTATATTTCTTTTTTTTTTTTTTAGAAGACGAGTCTTCAATTACCCCAAAGTTTCAATAAAGTTAGGATTAAATAAAAGTTGATTTAAAATTATTGTGATTAAGTATGTGGTGTGGATCATTTAGAGTAAATTGTATTAGTAAAATTGATTTGCTATTAAAAATATCCAATAAATATTAAGCAAATAATTCATTCAATTAACACTTGTGCATGCCACCTTAGAAAATTTAGGGGAGCAAACTAAGTTATGCCATTCATTTAATATTATTGGCATTTAATATTGCTGACATTATCAGATAACCAGTGAATTATAAATAATTTTTCTTAAGAATTTTAATTCTTTTTCTTTTAAATATTATTTATAGTACTTTCAAATATTATTTTTGTACTTTTAAAAGTTTTAATTCAAATACAAAAATGGTGATGAATAATTTCTACTAGATTATTGATTGACTCATTTCTACTTCTCTATTTTTTTCCTTTATATCTTTTCAATTTTTTGTTGTCCACTGCATTTTTACTAATCACACTGATATAATAAAAATATTAAATCTTCAGCCCCATGCAGAAATCTAAGAATAAGCAAAGTGAAAGCTCACAAGAACAAGCAGAAAAAAAAAATGGGGATCATGAGAATTTTTAATGAAAATTGCAAACTATTTTTTTTTCATCACACCCAGTCCACTTTTTAAAATTATCGCTGTAATATACTTTAAAAATTTCTCATTGCAATATATTGATTAAACTGTTTCATGATCATCAAAGCATCAAAATATAAACTGACCTGGCAAGCATAACTAACATGAGGAAATCGAATGTAAAAAGGGCATCACTTTTCACCGAGTCAACAACCTGGAAAGAAAATGAAATAAAGCTTTAGAGACATCTCTAATAATAATAAATTGTCTAAAGTAATCCTTACTATTAATATAAAATTGAGTACTGACACTTGGCTGAGTCTATAGGCCAAAAGAGTGGCTGACCTAATGACACAAAATGTATATTTAAAAAATGTGAAAAAAAATTAAATGAACTTAAGTTACAGCTTATTGAGCTCTCATAAAATTAACTTGATAAATTGTACAATTTAAATACATACATATTCACTCAAGCCACATTTGGAGTACAATACTGAAGTGAAGTTTTTTAAGTTTGATTAAATTTAGCTACCTGAGCAACCACTAGTCTGGACTTGATAGACTTCTTAAATTCACTGACTTTCTGGGCCAGTTTGTCCTCTCTGAAAATATATTTGTGTAAATAGTTATGGAACAGATTTTCTTGAATGCCCACTACCGGTACAGTCAAGGTTAGATATTTTAGGCTGAATTTATAAATTTATGTTACACCCATCAAGAAAAAGAGATACAAAAACAAAACAAAAAGAGATACAGAAACTATAACTTATTTCACACACAAAAATAATCTTCAGTTGCCATAGCAGCTGTTATCAACATTTATTTGAGGATACAGAAGCTAATACTGGTAACTAAAACTTTTGGACATACCAAACCAGCATAGAGAAAAATATTGTCCCTCACAACAGGTAAGCCAACAGATAAGCTAAGCTTTATGAGATTAAAGGAATTATATTATAGGTACTCTCGTACATTGGATGATCTTAAAAATTGTAAGTAAAATGTCCCCTCTCAAAAATATGTGATTTTTATCATTTATCCTCAAATATTGACACAACCTTTTATCTACAAATAAGTTTAAAACTTTTGATTTACATTAAAAAAAACATTTAATCATTTACATCAAAATTATTAAAATTTCCATTAAAAAAAACTTACTTTTCAAGCCTTTGTTTCACTTGCTCTGCCTCATCTTTCTTGGTTAAACTTGCTATACTTATTGAAGCTGGAAAAACACTGTCAATTGAAATATAAAAAATAGTCTGAAATATCTTGACGAATGAGAATATGCAACATTTTCCCAAAAAGTGATTTGTAATGCTACTAAACATTCAGCAAATGCACTCTTTATTTATTTCTGACCTCAAAAGAGAAATGGATAATGAAAAGTAGTTTAAGTACAAATGTAGCCTACCTGATAGAAATTTTAAGCAGTGTAAGCCGCTGTAATATTTCCTCACACCTTTCACCATCGTCAGTAATGAACATGCCCTGATACATAATAGAAGTATTACACACTGCTTTATTACAGTTAAAATATATGATGATAAAATAATCTCTTAGTTGTTTCCTTGTTCCAGTTCTACAGGATAAAGGTTTTATGTGTAAATTTAAAAGTCTGTTACAGTAGAATTTTTCTTTTTAAATCTCTAGTTTGAGTTGGTTTTTTTTCAAAGTCTTCAAGTTTAATTAAGCAAGTTAACATTATTTCATCATGAAATGTTTACTTACAATATGCATTTCATCATCAGTTGAATTCCAATTAACGCCTGAGACATTACTATATTCTAAGACATCTTTCACTTGCTGTTAAAAGAGTGAGGACAGTGTCTTTTTAAGCATATCCTTACTATACACAAATAAGCAAGATTTTCATCTCTAACATAAAAAAAAGATATCCTGATATCAAAATATATTTTTATAAAACGTAGTATTTTTTATAAAATTAACATTAACTGTATTTTTTATAAAATTAACATTAACTATCTCTATCTTATTAAATTAAAATTATAAAAATCGCATTTATTATTATCATTCACTTTTTTTTAGAAACAGAAACTGAGGAACTTTGTTTTAACCTGAATATCTTTGGAATAAATGTAAGAAAATGCAACAATTGTAGAACATAAGCTTACCTCAAGAAGAGTAAGTTCAGGTGTAAGGAATTGTATTAGATTAGACTTTTCTTCATCTGTTAGAAGATCCAGTGAATTTTTTCTATTATTATTGCTGCCAGCACTGTCAACTGCATCTTTTTCTTCAGGTGCATTGTTCTGAATGTCTGTGATATTTTTAGCTGATTCTGATAATTTTAGCCCATCAGCTTTTTGTTCTTCTAAGCTTTTCTTTCTATTTACTTTTTTCAAATCAATAACTCCATCTGCATCCGTATTATGTTTCTTTCCCTGGTCTTGTTCTGAATCATCAGCTTGTTTTAGTGTATCATCAAAATTCCAACCACTACTTGCATTTAATCTTTTCTCTGAGGTATTATCAGCTGGAATAAAATTCAAAACAAGATAAATAAAAATCTTCAACCAAATATTATATCAATTACAGGCTATCCTTAAATAACTTCATAAACCTATGGGGGTTGGGATCAATGTTCCCTTTAAGCTGCACGGCTGCGCAGCTAACTCACAGATGCCGCGCAGCAGTTTTGAGTATCCGCGCAGCAAGTTTCCATGTCAGTGTGTGTTTTTGTTTGTGGGCTGTAAAATTTTACACACACAAAAATTTACGCTGTAAAACTTTCCACACAACTGCATGATTTTGCACACGAACCAGCAAACCTTAGAGGGAACATTGGCGGGGATCACAATTTTTAGGAGATGTGTTATGAAAATTTAGGGACAGATATTTTACGATTCGTAAAAATATGTCAAAATAGTGTGATGTCATTAATGGATGGCCCTTAGGCCTACACATGCCATCATTTCAGTCATCTTGAAATATTTGGCTGTCATCTTGAAATAGTTATGGACCACTTTAATCTACATGCATCAGCATTAAATTAAATTACAAAGCCTAATCGATTTTTTAAAATAATAGTTAGCACACCTGTTAATTCAAGCGATTCCCCACTAGTCACAATTTTATTTTTCGATTCTTGCTCTCCATTTCTATCCACAGATTTGACGACATCTTTGTCTTCAGTTTCTGCAGGCACAGTTAAAACAAAAAGAACTTTAGCCATTTTTGAGTCAAGTCATGGGCCTTTGACGTCTTTGATAACTTTGTTAAACTCTGGTTACATCAATCCATAGTATCTGTATGCAACTGTGGAGTAATGAAAAGATTATAAATAACTTTTAAAAGGCCAAGGTATTATTATTGTTAAGTAATTTCTGTTGCTTCAGACCTACACAACAACAGGGTTTTACTTATTAATAACTTATTATTTTAGGTTATAATTTAAAAGGTTCAAAAGCTGATTTTAAAATAGTCCAATAGGGTTGTCCTAAACTAATAATAATAATATCATGAATATGATTCAATGGTCAAAAGACCCAAGATTTTTTTGTGTAAATAGTTATGCATAATAAATTTTAAAATAAAGAGTATTGATTTGTGTGAGTTTGAGGAGATTACTTAAAATACCCAGGAGAGTTAGTATTCATTTTAAGTTTTAAGTAGGCATAGGCATTACTATTAGTATTAGTATTAGTATTAACTTTTAAGCATGGCATGGCTGGGCATTATGGCCATGATGGGCTATATTATAAGTAACAAACTAATAATTAGTTTCAATAAAATAAGTATAACTAGAATAGGTCTAAGTAACATAAGTAGGGCCTACAACTTAGAACTACAAGGCTAGGACTAAACTACTACTACAAAACAAGACAAGGTCAGTGTAAGTAAGTGTAACATTTTATTTTTATATTTTCAGTTTAAATTATCAGTTAAGTCAAGTAAGTAAACCTACTCAGTCTTTTAAATTAAAATAATGGTAAAAACACCTCCTACCTTTTTCGTTTGAATTTATTTTAATTATTAGGTTTATATTATCAATATCATAGTTTATTTGTTGGTTTTTTTTGTTATCATTGATTCACAAGTTCATAATTTTTCCATTTCTATATTTTCTGTTCCAAGACAAATGTGTTTGTTTTTTGTTTTTTTTTTGTTGGTCAGTCTCTAAACTCTATCTTAAGAAATTCGAAGTCCCTAAGAAATTTTCATAAATCGTTTCATTTAAAATCTATGTTTAGGCATGTAGCCAAAGGCCCTACTGGCAAGCCGCCAAATCAATGGACTCAGTTTTTGCACCTTGCACGTCAAGTAGGCAGATCATTTATTTTTTTTTTTTTTTTTAAAAGTTTTTTCGGTCGGTCGGTTAAGACAACAAGGTTTATTGGTTTTACGCTATAAATTCCTAACACACTAGTTTCCCGGAGTCCCTAAGAAATTTTCATAAATCGTTTTATTTAAAATCTATGTTTAGGCATGTACCCAAAGGCCCTACTGGCAAGCCGCCAAATCAATGGACTCATTTTTTGCACCTTGCACGTCAAGTAGGCAGATCATTTATTTTTTTTTTTTTTTTTTAAAAGTCTTTTCGGTCGCTCGGCTAAGACGACACGGTTTATTGGGTTTACGCTATAAATTCCTAACACACCAGTTTCCCGGGTCTGTCCCACTCCCATCCAACAGAGAAATGAGAGACGTCCTTGTCCCACTCAGAGTCGCCACTTCCGTGCCTTCTGTATTTACAATATTATACAGTGTGAATTGTGTTGATTCAATGAGGGGAATTCGTCTTATTCAGAAATTGAGTTCATAGTCATACCGTGCGAATTAAAAGTTGTTTAAAATAAGAAGTGTTTATAAAATATCTAGGGATTGTTTTGTAATGCATAACTGTACTACTAATATAACTGTTTTGGGTCAGAGTGGAAAATTACACTTTTTAATGATAAACCATAAAATAAGAATTTATCATATATTTATATTATATGACTAACCACAGTGCGTTGCTGCGATATCGACCGCTGGTGGAAAGGGCCTAATTATAACTTTCACAAAAGGCTAAGTAAAACTCTAAAGAAGAATATAATATAGTGTCCGTCGCAATATAAGGCTGTTTATTTTTAAAATGTTAACAAAATGAAAATCATCTTTTAAGGTGGTAGCTTATACTTATATTATAGGCTTAGGCTATAGGCTATAGGACATGACAGCATTCACTTGTTAGACTTGTTAATTTGTTAACAAATTAAAGCTTTCCTAAGCTTCCACTTTATAAGATGTTTAAGTTTAACATATATAATTTATAATAATAGAACTTATTACAGCACAAATTAAAAGAAATAAAAATCTTACTTATCTGAGAATTGTGAACTCTTATGAAGAGCATAGACCCACTGTAGCTTAAAAACTTGGCCCTATGGTTTGCTCCCTTCGCTAAATTATTTGACACCGCACGCATTTACAGTTTGAAAATACGGGGAAATCCACGCCCCCTTTAAATACCGTGGCGGGCCTTGGGGGGCGGAGTCTAAAATAATCGAGCCGTCGTCGATATAGCACATGAACATGGGTATCGGGTTGAGGTTATCTGTGAAGGCCTATAACTATTATAATATGGGGCCTTAAAAACATATGCTTAAATTGTAAATTTCAGATACAGAGATTTACGTGTAGTCGTGTAGCCTGGATATATTAATTGATAAGGGAATTTACAAATGAGATTTAATGTAAGTTACGTGTCCCGCAATTGTAAACTACAAAATAAGTGCATACATTTGCATGGATACAAAAAAGGGGTGATAAAATATGGGGGGGGGGGGCCCACGGATGTTTGTTTTTTTTTTTTTTTTTTCCAGACATTTTCTATGATACGTTTTAAGAAAAAAAAGGGGGAAAAAAATGAGGGGGGGGGGGGGGGCCCACGGATGTTTGTTTTTTTTTCTTTTGTTTCCAGACATTTTCTATGATACGATTTAAGACAATAGGTCAAAAAGCAACGATGACGAGGCTTAAGCGCTGAACGAGCACACAATACAATGCTGAGTAAATGGGGAAAGCTCCACCATAACAACGAAGTCAAAAGGCCAATCTCTCTCTCTTTCCCTCTCTCTCTCCCTCTCTCTCCCTCCCTCTCCCTCCCTCCCCTCTCTCTCTCTCTCTCTCTCTCTCACCCTCTCTCTCCCTCCCCTCCCTCTCCCCCTCTCTCTCTCCCTCAATCCCACCCCCACCCCCATTTCAATTTAGGTCTATGGTAGGCCTACTCTACAGGGATTAAAATCTGAAATGGAATAGGCTGTTTTCAAATAAAAGCATTCGAGAGAGGCAAAGTAGATAATAATTTATAATGGATTTGTTAGATTATCTGACTGAGGTGAAAAATTTCCTTTGTAAATCTACCGAAATATTTATTAAATGTCACAACTAAATCGGAACTCATCCCCCCACACAATCTATTAACAAAATAATCGAATACGCTTAAATACAAATTGTGAAACTTCCATAAGATTTCATTTGACATGGTCATATTTAGACGGCCAACGGTATGGCGCCCTGGTTGAATAGAAAATAGCATTCTTAAATAATTGGGACCATGGAACCACCAACAATAAAGTTGCAGCCTTTGGTCAGCAGAAATGTATCATTTGTAATCTATATATTATTAATATTCTATAGGCTACCAACATAACANCTCTCCCCCCCTCTCCCTCCCTCCCCTCTCTCTCTCTCTCTCTCTCTCTCACCCTCTCTCTCCCCCCCCTCCCTCTCCCCCTCTCTCTCTCCCTCAATCCCACCCCCACCCCCATTTCAATTTAGGTCTATGGTAGGCCTACTCTACAGGGATTAAAATCTGAAATGGAATAGGCTGTTTTCAAATAAAAGCATTCGAGAGAGGCAAAGTAGATAATAATTTATAATGGATTTGTTAGATTATCTGACTGAGGTGAAAAATTTCCTTTGTAAATCTACCGAAATATTTATTAAATGTCACAACTAAATCGGAACTCATCCCCCCACACAATCTATTAACAAAATAATCGAATACGCTTAAATACAAATTGTGAAACTTCCATAAGATTTCATTTGACATGGTCATATTTAGACGGCCAACGGTATGGCGCCCTGGTTGAATAGAAAATAGCATTCTTAAATAATTGGGACCATGGAACCACCAACAATAAAGTTGCAGCCTTTGGTCAGCAGAAATGTATCATTTGTAATCTATATATTATTAATATTCTATAGGCTACCAACATAACACGTCATCTAGGACCTATATTTTCACGTGCAAACCTAACGCGTATGAGATACGGTATTTTATAAACAAAATAAACAACAACAAAAAAAAGCCACATTTTCTCGGTATTTGTGTTTTTGAAACTTATTATTTTTAAAAAACGGGGTGGTTATTCACAGCCGGCTGAGAATAACGTTGAGTCAATGGTTTGCAAACAATTTATCGGCTGGGAATGTGGTTCAGCGTTATTCCCAGCCCACTGTGTATAACAGTGCTATCATAATAAAGTATATGTTAAATTTTTTTTAAATTATATAGATTAAATACAGCCCACAGTTCCGCTACATAGCCGCTACAGCCTTCTATTTTTTTAATTGCTAGTGGTAGTAAACCATTTATCGGCTGGAAATAACACCGCCCCCCCCCCCCTTTTTTTTTTTTTTATAAAAAAAA